TACCCATACACATTTGACATGCTCAATCCATGTGTAGCGAAAATGGACCCAATGGCTTCTTTTAATGTCACCGCCTTTGTCCTTAACATGAACAAGTGCAATAAAATATTCAATGATGCTCCCCTTTTTATCCACGTAACATACATCAATAGCCATTTGTTCTTTAATTGATACATCATGAGTCATCAACTAATAAAGCAAACAAGTCAATGTTCATGTCCACAATTATAGCTTTTGTTGTCAAGTAGGCACAAGTCTTTTTAACATCTTTTTGAATCATTGGTGAAGTTAATTTGTTATTATCAGGAGCATTTGTCAACACAATTCTTTCAATATCTTCCCTACATAAGGCAAGATATTGTAGAAGTTTAAGAAATCATCCTTTGTTTAAGGATTTTTCCAATTTATCATGACCACAAAAAGAGCTTTTTTGACGCAATAGAAACATGACCGCTCTAATCATTGTTCTCAAGCAAAGGCGAGATAATCCATCTTTTCTTGTTGAGAAGCTTTACATATATTAATGTCTATGTGTTGTTTTCGGTTCATGAGATCTTGACGACCTTTAAAGCCTTGTGTATGAACACTATTGTGGTCTCCAACATGCTTTCTCAAAGCCTCCTTCCAATACGCAATCCCGTACTGGTAAATAATCACCAGCTCCTTTTTTTTATTCAATGGTCTAAACGAATAACAATATAGACAAAAGCAAGCATCTTTGCTTTCACTATATTCCGACTAACTTCCACACTCTATGACCCAATCTTTTTAAAAATGATGATCTCTACTCAAAAAATCATGTGAAGGATAGCTTGCTAGTATAGGTTGGCGACGACCCTTGAGCAAGTATGCTCATTGAATATTTGCTAATTGCTTTGAATTTGTAGCAGTTGAATAAACATTAGATCTTAGTCCAAGATCCACCACAAGTTCATGCTCATCTTGGTTATCCACCATTTGTGAAGGTAGAGAAGGTGGTGGCAGTGACGGTGATGGTGATGGTTGCAGGCCACCCTCACCCACGGGGGTGAAATATACTACCTCTTTTAAAAAATCGTTCCATAATTGAGCCACCATCACCACTGGTGGTATGAAATACTTGATTTCTTTTATGAGATTATTCCATGACTAAAACAAGATAAAATATATACAGATATTAAAAGTTTTAGCATAAATTATCTTTTGAAATATAGTTCATGTACATCAGAAGTTTGTTATTATCTGATTTTATTTAAAAAGCGGATGTTTTGACTTTGTTGAGACTACATTCATGCTTACGTTTTATTAGAACAAGTATAATGCACGTGCTTTGCACGTGGACATGTTGTATTTAGTATTATATTATTTAATAAATTATATATAAACACTTTACAAAGTTATTTAATTGCACTATGATTAAAAATTTTTAAGTTATACTATAATTAATACTCATACTATTATTAACATACATCTAATAGTTATTTAAATTAACTTATTATTATATTGTTAAACAATTTATTTAGGAGTACAATTATTAAATAATAATGTAATCATTAGTTAAGTAACACTATTGATATAATTAAACCATTTATATTATTAAATATTTATGTTATGGACATATTTTACTATAATATTTATTAAATAATGGCAATAAATTTTAATATTATATGACTATATGTTGTAAAATATATTACCTTGCTTGATAATTAATATCATCTTAGTAATAAAAAATTAGATGGTATAAATTAAAAATATTATTATTTAGGAAAAGTACTTTATATAAAAATATTGGATCCTTGAAATTTACGAGACATTTACTTTCCAACAAAAAGTGAATGACTCATAGATTTCAAAATTCCAATATTTTTATATAAAGTAACTTTTCTAAATAAAAGTATTTTTAATTCATAATGTCTAATTTTTATTACTAAGATTTTTATATAAAGTAACTTTTCTAAATAAAAGTATTTTTAATTCATAATGTCTAATTTTTATTACTAAGATGATATTATAATATCGAAAAGGGTGATATTCCTTACAATATAAAGAATCAACCCCTATTTATACTATTATTGATAACTATAATTATGTACAATATTTTATTAAATAAATAATTTTACTAATTCATTACAATTAATAATTCTTTTATAATGAATTATAATATATTTATTAACTTTATTATTATTATAAATTATTAATATATTATAGCGAGTGACCAAATATTTTGGAAAAAAGAAGAGAAATGTATATGTCTCATAAATTCCATGGATCTAAATATTTTTATATAAATTAATTTTTCAAAATAAAAATATTTTTAATTTATAATGTCCAAATTTTTATTACTAAGATGATATTAATTATCGAACAAGATAATATTTTGCAACATAAAGAAGTAACTGTATTTATACTATTATTAATAATTATAATTATGTGCACTAATTTATTAAATGAATGACTTTTACTATTTTATATAATTAATAATTATTTATAATAAATTATCATATATTTACGAATTTTGTTATCATTATAAATTATTAATATATTCTAGTGAATGACCAAATAATTTGAGAAAATGAAGAGGTGCATAGTTAATAAGAGGTTATGGATCATTAGTTTTATAAATAATGGTACAATTGTGAGAGATAAAAAATTGAGAGGGTAAAAAAGGAAATCAAAAGTTTTGACATGGGTATTCTCTTTTATAAGTAGTATAGATTTCTAATTGATTGTTAGGAACTATAAGTAAATACCATAAACTAATTACACCTAAAAATGCTAAAATCTAAATAAATAAAAAGGGGGAAGTTAGAAATTCTAAAGCTCTAAAACCCTTCAAATAGAAACTACAAGTGCATATCATAAGCTAATTACACTCAAAAATTCTAAAATCTAAAAAAAGCAAAAGGGAGTAGTTAAAATTTCTAAAAGCCTAAACCCCTAACCGAATTAATAAAAGTCTAGAGGGAAAACAATTAAAAAGCTAAATAAATTTTTAAAAAGAGAAAGTTAAAGAACTAACGAAAATCAAACCATAAACCTAAACATATCAATAGAAGTATAGTTTATAGAAGATAAAAGTTAAAAAAAAACTACCGAAAATGTGATTAAGTGCATGAATACCGAATGCGCGCCACAAGAGAGGGCAGAGAAGTCTGGAGAAGCACTGAGAAGGGGAAAAAACCAAAGAAGAACTAAGGTGAGACGACAAGACTAAAGAAGGACGGAGTGCTGAGTAGGGTGGAAGTCAGGCCAGACTCCAGAGGAAGAGTGGAGTCAAAGGGCGGAGTTTGGCGATTGTGAAGGGGCGTCGAAGTGTTGAACAATCCCTAGTTCTTAACTTCTCATGATAAAAAAATGACAAAATAGAAACTACGTATGTCTAAGAATTGGGGATTTATACTTTTCTATTTTAGGCCCTACAATTAAAATAAGTCACCAAATATTAATAAGCCCTATTTATTTTTCCAAATCCAGAGGGGGCCCTTTGGGCCCCATGTGCCTCCGCCCCTAAAACCATACATGCTAGCTAGCTTCTGTACTTCTTTCAAGTGATTAAGGAAAGATTTCAATCTTTTCATGGCCCATCAATTGATTATTTCCCCATCCCAGAAGCATTTGAAGCTTCTAACACACTACACAAATCCATGTCCCTTGTGCGCTAGGACAATAATTGGGTGATCTCTATCTAGATTGATTGCACTCATTTAAGAATGACTACTTGCTTACAGTTATACTTATCTAGCTCTATTTAAATGTTCGCGAGTGAGACTTGCATGGAGAATCTTGAATCTGTCCTTTTGGCCATTTGACCAGTTCTCCTTTTATTTCAATCACGAATTTTTTACTGAGATACCAACTTCACAACATCATATATCATCTCTTTCTCAAATGACATGTTGATTCCTCCATTCCTTGATTTTTCTAGATTAGAACACAATCGACCTTATGTATCTTCCTAGTACTGTTTTTTTGCTTTTGTAGCTCTAAAGCCACGTTTTTCGACATTTTCTAGGAACAGGAGGAACTGCTACAGTGACCACTGACATACTACAATATTTAAAGTTTATTAGGATTCTTTGGTAACTATATTGAAGCACTACATGAATTTCCAAGTAGAATAGTAGATAGATTGTATGCAAATGTTATAGTTCTTTGCAGAGTTAATGCTCGCCTAGGTTGCATGGGTACAGATATTAGTACGGTATGGGAGTGGGTACATGACACGGCAATTTCGTAAAAGGTAGGGTACAGAGACACGACTAAAACTCATGAGATATAATCATAGTTCTAAGCTATATATGTAAACAACGCTTTTAAATCATCTCTCTTAAGGCTGAAACAAACTCAAGCCTTATCCAACAAGTAACAAAGATGGATGTGTAGGATGTATATCCAAGAAGTGTATGGCGAGTTTTTTTTAAAGTTAAACATGCCCTAAGTAATTGTGTGCAGGTCTGAATAAATATATGCATATATTTAAGGAGTGTCCAAGAAGTGTCAGGTAGAGATATGGGTATGACACGTGCTGGGTACAAATACGGCTCCATATTGGAAGCAACCAGGTAATATAGCTGGTCTCCTACACACCTCAAATGTGTGACAGTATGTCATGAACAATCCTGGAGGAGAGAAGATGACGCCCTCCATGAATAACAAGGCTGTTTCTATGTGCTGATCGTGGACCTTATGAATAAGGCCCAGGATAACTCAAGTGCATCTTTTTCTCAACTAAAGCACTCTTTAAATGTGAGACTTGTTGAACAGATGATACTGCTAATGAACAAGTATGGAGAGGACTCATAGTACCAAAATCCCCTAATAATCGCATAGAATACAATAACAAGTGAAAAAAATAAACACTGTCAGCTTGCAGTAAACAAAACTTAAAGCAGTAAGCATATGTATATTCATAATGGGACCAGAAGTGTGATTAAGTATTTGCTGCGGAAGGGACACGTTAATACTATGACAATTAATTGATATTTGATATTAATGACACTTTCAGTATACTGAAGCATTACCTTTAGAAATCTTTTGTATTATCTGCGATAACTGCTTTCTAACATCTCTGCTGAACTTCATGCTGCGTATCTATGAAAATAACCACAAAAAATGGTTAAATAAAATGTTTTAATAACATTGAGCTATCATCTCTGAAATAATCAACTCATTCTCAAAAAACTAGAATTTTCGCACATGCAATACAACATGAAATATATACACTTAGCAGAAGTACTTGAAAATTTTAGTTTGATTCATCATCAAGAATTGATATCTATGACATAAGTAAATTTAAAGGTAATATATGTAATAAGTTGGTGTTGAAGTTATACCTTAGAAATCATGTAAACTTGTCAAGAGGGCAAACGACTATTTTACAAGGTTATCCACACGAAAACATGATAAACTTCCCATGGTCGTCGGGAATACACATAAATATGTATAAACATGAAACAACAACTATGTTTATGCAAAGCTTACATGCCAATTTGGACAATATTCTTCTATATATAATACAACCTTTTACATCTGTTTCCAGCAGAGTATTTGTTCTCTCCTACTGATAACTGACAGCAGTATGAGGGCCATGTTTGTTTACTTGGCTCGGACATTGTTTCTACCAGTAATCGTTCTTAAAATTGAGATAACACAGATTGAACTCCTGCCAACAATGCAAAAAAGTAGGAGCTGATAACAACATAAATGGAAATTAGGATGCAATGAAGATTGAAGAGAAAAAGACTGAGACGGGAAACTTCAGCTAAATCAAAGGTCACAAGACAATTCAAAGATAAAATCCTGTATTATAAGACTCAAGGAAAGCACATAGATGTTGTAGTTGGAATGATAACAATCATGAGGCTGTTGTGATCCCAATAAAAGAATAAAAACACACCTTAGCACAATCTACAATGCCAACAAGGAGATGCTACAATTCATCTTAAATAAAGGGAGAAAGTTACTACCAAGGTTCAAGACAAATGATAGAGCATTGGCTTTTGAAATAAAGTAGAGATGAACTCTTGCAAAGGGAGTACTAATAAAAGAGGAGCTACTAGCATTGAAAGAGAACCCGCAACCATAAATCTGAAGAAACAACCGTCAGATTTGGGAATTTCTGTAAATTTCGAGAAAATTGCATGAAATTTTGCTGAGAACATTACCATCTAGATATCAGCCGGTGATATCATAAAGTATGGACGAGACAAGTACCAACATCTCTGACCTCCACCAAATTTTGAAGGACAGATACTTAGTGTAATTTGAGTAGGGGGGGGGGGGAATAGGAAGATACTATGATGTACTACCTGCGAAAAAGAGTTGACCTTATAAATTGAGGTCTCATTCGTGGAGCGGCGGGGCAGTAGAGCTATGTAGCTTTTTTTTTTGGTGGAGATAACACCTCCTACAAGATAGCCTCCTCTCTCAAACCCATAGCCATACTAAATAATACAGCCTAGGAAATAAAAATCCTACATCTGCAGGACGAAAAAAACTCCTGAAATTTTTGCAATCGAAGCATCAAGAGAGACAAACAAGATAACAAGAGAAATATATTTTCCTCATAGTACTCACGATCTACTATTGAGATTCAACCCAAAGAGAGGGAATTATATCCTCAAAAACCCTTGCACATCCTTGATATCCAGTTCAAGTGGCTTGGATAAGCAATCACTTGCCACACAACAGATTATATCTGTCATTGGCTGGCG